TTTAGGAGTACAACCTTAACCGGCACAGTGATTATAGCCAAAATCCACCAGGTCTTTTGCAGGAATACTAGGCACTCGATTGTATATTTCCCATAGTTTCACTCTCTACATCTCTTGTGATTCTGCCGTTTAGATATCTACCAATACGGTATCAATCGTCATCAAGGAAAAGGAGCTCCGCCTACAACACAAATACTACCTACCGATTCACCTCTTGAGTCAAAAAGAAAAAAGGGAAGAAAGAATGTAAAAAAAGGAAATAAGGAGGACAAAAAGAAACAGAAAAAGTGAAAATTCAAGCCCTCGTAACTCGCAGAAATCCAGGAAGGAAATCAGAACACCACGACCACAGCGCAAATTTAGAAAAGTTAAAAGTTACTCGAGTCATCATAAAGAAAATAAAGAGTAGAAGTAAAAGAGATTCATACAGCGTCCAAGAGCATATAAATAAATGATGGCTGAAATCCATGCAAGATGTAGGCTTCGACCAATAATGGATACAGAACAGAGCTGTAATGGCACACGGGGCAAGACATTGTGAAGTACGTTGCAGATCCAGTAAAGACAAATTCTCCATGGGGGGAATGATAGGAGATCTATTCGAGTCAGGATGTCCCATCTTTCCCGCTCCTTAAAAGCACAAGCATACCCTCCTCAAATTATTTCTCACCCAGGAGAACCACTGGCGCTATTCTGTCGTCGAACGACTCCCTTTATCGGGCGCTGAGGTACCTTCGCTTGGGCTGGTTGGGGACATAATATCCCCATTCTTCGACTTCTCCGGAAGTGTTATTTCAGGCCCCGGTTCCTCATCAAGTTTGGCTGCGAGAGCTTCAGCTTGAGCATTGCGGTCTTCCTCCTTCACGCCTGTATCAGAATTGGAAATTGAGCGTCGTTTTGCTTCCTTCTCAGCTTGAGCCATGATCCTATCAGTTTCGCTAACGCCTGTTGTATCTGAAACCTCGCCTTCTGCGGCCCGTTTGCTACCTATTCCATCTCCCTGCGCCTTTGTGTCAAATCGTACCACCATGCAGGAGAGATTATCAGTGCTGAATCGAGAGAGAGCATGGTCGACAAGAATTTTGGAAGCTTCCTGAGGGTCGTCGGTATCGCGAACCAAATCAACTGCTTCTTGATCCGAGCACACATCCCAAAGCTAGAGTAGTTAGTATAATCAATTTTAAACCAGAAGCTCTTTGAGGAATTACTCACACCATCGCAAGCTAATATGAGAAATTCATCGGTCTCCGGTTGAATTACTGTTTCTGTTGTGAACGGGTGGCCGGTGACAAGGTCTTTCATATATGAGTCTCCCAAAGCTCGAGTCACCGCAAGCACGCCATTTACACGGTTGTTTAGAATTAAACCTCCAGCATTTGTGATTCGCATTCCTTCATTCTCATCACTACCTTTATGATCATAAGATAGTCGTAAAGCCTTCCCGTTACGACATAAAATGATTCTCGCGTCACCCACATTAGCAGTATATAACACCCGTTGACGGGAAACTGTATTTTCAGAGTTTGGAGTAGACGCAGTTTTTAAGTCTGTATTCGAAGACATTTCACTGGCAGGATTATTCTGTATTCGTTGCGTTTCTCCTTTTTCTCCCTCGGCCTCTGGGCTCTGCACCTTGTTGTTTGCCGCGTCCGATGCGGAGACTGTGGAATTTATCACTCGGTCTTCCCACCTCAGAACTGCAGTAACTGCAGTACACCCGCTATTCCTCATGGGCAATTGTTCTAATTGTTGGTCAACTAGAGTGAAGGTCTGATCAAGAAGCATAGGCAGCGGCGTATTCGGGTTCTTTCTGATCGTCTCCTCCAATATCAGATGTAGCTTCTTTCCACACCACTCAGCAGCAAATGTTCCCGCATGACCGTCAAAGATAGCAAAGTACCCGTTGTCCGTCTCAATCATGGGCATTAACTCCCCAGCTTCCGACCGTCCAGGTTCATTAGGCTGGCCACTCTGCGATGAAGATTCAACCTGGCTTGTTGATATGGGCTTTCCTAGAAAGTTGTAGAGATATGCATGTGTATCTTCCATAGTCCTCCGACATTTCTTATTCTTATCTTCCGTCACTCCAACGCGAAAGGAGGAACGGGGTGTGGGTAACGACTCTCCCGCTGAGTTATTCAGTGAACCCTGAGGAACAACTAAGGCAGGATCCATCTTCCCTAAGATCTGCAGTGGCGTCTGCACAACCTGGACCGGTTTCTGCGGTTCGCGTAAGCTTGAGATGTGCAATGAATTCTTCGCACTCGCAAGAAATGCCGCAGCCTTGCTCACAGAGCTACCCCGCCGTTTCTTATCCCCGTTTTGATCCCGTTTGTCGTTTGATCGTTTAAGGAGGTCCCTGGAAAAATTCTTGCCTTCGCGGTTCGCGGGATCTTCGGTATCGTTTGCTCGAGCAGCGGCTGGACTCGTGGTAGGAGGCGCGATCGGATCAGTTTTCTCTTTGGGAGGGCTCGATGAGCCACCGAACATTCTGTTCAGCAACCCGCCCTGACTAGAAAAACTCCGCCGCTTATTTCCTGCCAGCATGAAATCCTGCGTTCCGAAATCTCACCCCACCGGAGGCTAACGAGCAACAGCAGCCAAACGGCCTTGGAATGGACCGCGGAAACTATATTTGAAGGTTTTTAGCTACCAGTCAACCAAAGTCAAGAGCAACCGTTCACCACCGGAACACAAAATGCTATGACGTTAAAAAGAAATGCATCGCCCCGGTCCTCATTCGCACGAGCCCCGGCTACCCGTCGGACTCGTTGACAGCAGGGCTCCTGCAGCTGTAGATATAGATGAAGGCAAACATAAACCACAAAAGTGCATACCTGTAAGGACACTCCCAGGCTGTCTCCCAAGAGCCCGATCAGAAGCCACTGGTTTATCTAGATGTTGAGGCGAAGCAGGGATGATAATTCTGTGAGAGGTTGATGAGGCGAGTCTGCAGGAGGATCTAAAAATAAAACGCAGATAATATTAACTTCAACTTTTAGTTCGTCTGAAGAAACAGGATAATTGGTGAAAAGCCTTGCAAGCAGAGACGATGTTAGGCACAAAATACTGCTAAAGATTGGGTACTAACAACAGAGTAGATGGTGAACAATGTCCTGCAATCAAAAAGAAAACACTGCAGTTAAAATACTTTGCTAGCTAGTGCTGGTCTTAGGCAACAAACGACAACGTTGTGACACTGTTAGATATAGCGATGAAGCTATGTGAGTGAATCGTGATAGATGTTTATCCAGCAACTCGTTTGAAACCACATGGCAGTAGAGTAACTAGCTATTGACACACTGACTGTCTTTTCTTGCTGCTCGAAGACATTTTTTGGCCTTGAAAATGGACCATTTCATTACAGACGGAATATAGTCCCTATGAAGAGTTCTCTCATGACCCTGACAGATCTACACTGTATTCGCTCTTCAGTCATGGATGGATTATAAGAGAGTGGATTGTTGCAGTTAAAGGAGGTGTTCTCCAGGATGTCATATTGTTGATGGTCGTTCAAGGAGCGGAGAGCTGGGCTCATTTATACCAAATATTGAGCATTGACCGTGGATACTGGCAAGGAGTCGATCGTCTTTCATGATGGCCAGCGCCTAGGTTCTGGGCCAGTATCATCAAATATATAACCTTTTGGTACGTTGTATTTGTGCAAACGGCATCCATACACAAGGCCGAGTACTAATCTAAACACGGAACTCTGGCCTGCATTGAAAGGGAGAGGCCGTCCAGTGATTCCGAAACGCCGTCGCTGCATTGATCAAGGTCGTGAATATCTGAACTGTGTTCTATATAGGCCGAGAAATCATCTTCGAAGACTATCCAGCCTCGCTTGTAGATCCTCGTCTTCCGCATTACCGCCGCCACCAACAGCTTGGGCAATGCGTCCTTCGCGGACTCCAGTCGTTTGTAGACCGGTAGGGGTCTCACCCAGCTAGATACAGATGTTAGAAGTCTTTTTAGAAACTGGACATAAATATAGGAGGCAAGCAAAAACGACGTTAGAACCTACCGCTTGCCCGAGATCGACCCCGATTTCGTCTAGCACTTCTTTCACGACTTCTTCGCCCTCTTCTTCATCCTCAAGCCCAGTTGCTTCGTCAATCGCATCGTCCATCATCTCTTGTCGCTGGTCCATGATTTCATTCTCGCGTTCAAACTCCATGACAATTCTTTGCAGCGCAGGAAGGTTCATTTGCCTGTTCATGCTTCCTAGAAGTATTGTGGCACCTCTCATTGACTGCATCATTTGTTCATTACTTCTTACAGTCTACAGAGCATGGAGTTAGTCGTGCTTCCACCGGGTCTTTCCCCTTTCTGAAAATATTCTTACCTGTATTCTTAGAGAGATTGCTTGCAACTGCGTTCTCATTGAGTAGAACTTCTGGATATACCTGCCCGTACACACAACATCAGCCCAGACTGCTCCGCAGTAAATCATAAAGTATCTAGCCGTACCGCCTGGTCCTGACAAGATCTTTGGCCTGGATTTTGCAAGCTCCAATCTGCCCATTTTTGGCGCTCTTTTTGATATCTTGAACCAACTTCTTCTCCTGGTTTTCCAGTTTTATTCTTTCCCTGTCGAGTTCTCTCTGTGTTTTTTCTAACGCTCTCTGATGTTTCCGCAAACGCTCCGCTGGGGTCAACCGTTTTCCGAAAGCCCATTCGATAATCTGGTTAGGAAGGTCAGCACAGCACTAAAGGTAATCAGGGAAAGCCACTGTTGCATACATTCATCTTGATAGATTAGTGGAACTGGAGGACAAGGATCTTTGGAGGTGGAAGCTGAGTTCCTCTCCCTCGGTACAGCTTCAAAATGCTTCAGAAAACAAATTCCCGCTGGCTGGTCACAACTGTCAGTACGTCGGTGATGAGGTCCCCGATGACGAGAGCGGGATCTCACCTGTAGTTGTTGATTACTTAATCTACGTTATCACTTCTGATGATGAATTCTCTTGAGATATGAAGCTGGTTTCTGCACCAATAGCGGTCTCATGGTCTAGTGGTTATGACTCCGGATTTTGATGTGAATGCGGAAATTCCGGCACCCTGGGTTCGAATCCCAGTGAGACCTGATTACACATTAACCCCGACGCCGAATACTTTTTTACGTAATCATCCACTAGTTCGTTCGTCCCATGGCGCCACCGGAAAAGTAATCTGATGTCAATTTTCTTTTTGACTTCCTCCTCTCTCTCTCTCTCGACAGCATCCGCGTTCGTTATCCAAATCTACACCGCGTTTTGCACGCCTCAACGGTATCTGAATCTATTCTTACCATTATGAGCCAGGGGTTTTTCCCCAGCAACTCGTCTGCCGGGGAGGGATCCTCGAAGCAGAGGGGAGACAGCCCCCCGCCAACCTCGCCTCATCATGCGCCGGATTACATGGTAGTAGGGACTGGGTCGACATCAGAGCATGCTGTATCATTGATCGCATCGTTAGGTGATGATTCTGGTTATGGAGGAAGCACAGTTGGCGATACACACCCAGATCCTAATGAAGCATGGTACGCAGGATTGATGGAAGACAGACCGACCCCAGCACATACTCCAATCCTGCCTGGACAATCAAATCTCGCCGGTCAGTATACTCTTTATCGCATATCATGTCTCGTTTCGGATGCACTTGGCTAACCATTCAACAGCGCAACATGAAAGACTTATCCTTGCCAATCACATCCATCAACTCCAATAGTAAGCTCAGCATGTCCATGCTGCGGTGCTTGATTGCTAACTATCGCCAGTAACTCGAATCGGACGCAACTAGGTCGTTACATCACCCGAGCCATCGATCTGCTGAAGGAGCTTCAGGAGATGAATCGCCAATGGCCTGCCCATTACCCTTCTGTGTCTCCCAACCAAATTCCTCCAAATAGACCGAATTTCACGCCTGTTAAATCTTACTCCGAGCGTAGTAGGTTCTTCGCTGAGTCCCCCTCAAGACCAAATCCATTGCGGCGAGCGGCCACCTCGATCTCTAGCCCAGATGATGCGGAATCGAGTCATTCAGTGGAAAAGAAACCTGAGCCGCGACTCATCACTCCCCAGATTGCTCGAGAGTTCTCTATTCTGAAGCTGGATCTCAAGTTGGGTACAATGTCACAGGCGGAATTAGTGCATTCTCTGGAGAAGAATTCGATTGCGTCGTTGCTGGATGGGAAAGTTAGCCAGAGCATTAAGCATCTTCTTTCCTTACGAGACAGAATAGACGATACTTCAAGCAAGGTTCTGGTCACTGGTGACCTTAACGCTGGAAAGTCTACGTTTTGCAATGCACTATTACGTCGCAAGATCCTACCCGAAGACCAGCAGCCCTGTACCAGCATTTTCTGCGAAGTGGTGGATGCAAGGGAAAATGGAGGCCTAGAGGAAGTCCACGCAATCCATAAGGAAAAGCACTACAATCGCAATGACGAAAGTACTTATGATGTTTACTCACTGGCAGACCTCGAAACTCTTGTTGTTGACAACAGCAAATATATGCAATGCAAAGTATACGTCAAGGATATTCGGAGCATTAACGAGTCTTTGTTAAACAACGGAGTGGTGGACATTGCACTTATCGATGCTCCTGGGTTGAATTCGGATTCTGTGAAGACGACAGCGGTCTTCGCAAGGCAGGAAGAAATTGATGTGGTAGTTTTTGTTGTTTCTGCTGCCAACCATTTCACATTATCTGCAAAGGATTTTATCAAAATTGCGGCTCATGAGAAAGCCTATATTTTCATTGTTGTCAATGGATTTGATAACATTCGAGATAGGAACCGTTGCCAGCGCATGATCTTAGATCAAGTTGCGGAGCTAAGTCCACGAACTTTTAAGGAGTCAGCTGAACTAGTTCACTTTGTTTCGAGCAATGCCGTCCCTGTTGCCATTAGCGGTGGCTTCAACGAATTCGGAGGAAATGGTGGCAGTGATGGCGGTGATGGCGGTGATGGTGATGACGATGATCGAGATGGCTCTGTGAACAAGGGGAAAGCAACCGATACAGACAAGGATAAGGGCAAAGGAAAGGAAAACGAAAAGGAAAAGATCCAAGACTTTGAGAATCTGGAGGGCGCGTTGCGACGCTTTGTTCTCGAAAAACGATCACGTTCTAAACTCGCCCCCGCCAGAACATACCTCTTGAACGTTTTCACCGATTTGCATACTCTTGCTTCTGTCAACCGTGCCGTTGCGACATCAGAACTTGACCGGATGTCAAAAGAGCTCGATGAACTTGTCCCTGCCTATGAAAAGGCTAACAATCAAAGAACTGAAATTGGCGAGCAGCTTGATAGGTCTATAGGGGAGGCTTGTGATGATGTCTACAACCATACTCGATCTACGCTTTCGACAACCATATCAAAGGTTGCAGAGAATGACTTGGGCGTGGAGTACCCGGGCCTTCTTGCTCTTTTCCAATATGCCGAGGATATAAAATCATCAATGCTGGATCAAATTTCCGCTTGCGTGACTCGTTGTGAAGACTACGCGAGGTCAAAATCTGTCCGAGGCGTTGATATGATCCATAGCCTTGGTCTACTGCATGTTGGAGAGAACAAATTTGCTAATCTCACCTTCCGTGCTGACGTGATGTTCCGTCAGCAAAAACACTCCCTTGCGAGACAGGTAAACACTGAAGTCGAAATATGGGATTTTATCGATATCCCAGGCATCTGGGAACGCCAGGAAAAGGTTGCCGGGACCGGCATGGCTGTGACTGTTGTTGGTGTCTTAGGAGGAAGGGCGCTCGGCGGTTTCGGGTGGGTTGATGGCATCTTCGGCGCCGCTAAAATTTTGGGTCCAAACAATTTCCGGAAGATGATAATACCCAGCATCGTTGGAGCATGTATGTTTAAATCTAGCCATACTCTCATTTCCTTGCTTTGTACTAACCTTTCTTAGTCATTTTGACGGCCGCCTATGTTGTCTCCCAGATCCCAAAATCTCTTCCATCCCGTTTATCGCGCAAAATATCCGCCACACTTGGAGAAATTGACTATGTTCACTCCAATGCTGTACGTATATCCACTGAAGTTGGTCGTGTGCTCCGCATGCCTGCTACGAGGCTGCAAACTGCTCTCCAGCTCGCCGCAGAAGACCTCGCCAAACGTAAGGACGAAGTCGGAAAGGTGAAGCACGAAAGTGAAATCGCGCGGAAGTATTTCGACAATCTATTCCGCGAGAGCAACGAAAACAAGAGAGCGGTTGAAGTTATTGATCTTGAACCCACTGTCCCAGGGTCATAGCTGGACAAGCCTGAGTATTGAGTCTTACGTCCTTTTTCTGTTTATCGTTCCATTTCCTGTATATTCAAATGCTTGTATGAGTCATGTTCTTTTCTATCCTGCCACAAAATGTTTCTCTTCAGAAGCATGTTAGGCACTTTCCTCAACTCCATAATACTCTTTCTTCCACTCCAACCCATTTGGACCTTTGTAATATATTCTTAGTACCACTTTTGTTTTCCCTTGCGATTTGCCTATTCTGTTTTAATGCACACATACCCTGTTATACATTCGCCTTTTATGAGCAACATGAACATTGTCTGAATAGTAAAAGGGGCGCAATGTGGCTGATTTTCTTATTTATTATCCTTCCACACTTTTGATACCAAGCTACAAGGGCGAGAGAAACAAGCAGAAAAAGAAAAAGAAAAAGAAACCAGTAACAGATGTGAAAGTGAGAAGAGCTGACAGGCCTGTTGTGAAAGCCTGTCACTGAACGTCTGGGTTCTATGTGCATAAACCAGAATTGATTGACTCATTCTATTGTTTTCTGCACTGTGGATTCTTTTTGCCTAGTTATTATTGTGATAGACACAAGCCATCTAAATATCTAAGTAGTCGTCCATGTTGATACTGTGCCATGAGTAGACAAGATACCGTGTTCTAAGCTACAAAATGCACATCTACCTGGTAGCTAAGTAAAGCTGATGATCTTTATGCTTTTCATCTCGAATGTACATAATATGTATGTGCGTACATTCCATCAAAGGGTTCTAGATGCTATATTATTCAGACCTGCGCGAAATCCCCACCGTCCCCTTGCCAACGCCATATGCAGCCCTATCCAAGAAAGCAAACCACCGAAATAACCGCAACACCAACCTTGCAAATCACAATCTAGATCTAAACCTAACATAGATGCGGTCGAAATATGCATTATACTCCATCGCCATTGAGCGTCCTCCTTGACCTCGTGCGTCTCCCGCCTCCCCAGCCAGCTAACTTTTCGCTGTCCTGCAGCATCCCAATCACTAAATGGCCACCAATGCCACTCTTCCTCTTCCCCTTCTTACTCTCATCTTCGATATCTTCCTCCGTAGCATTCATCTCTCGCGCCCTCCTAGTAATCTTCTCCCTCATGGCTATGGCATCGGGGTCCTCGTATCCCAGCTGCGTCATGGGCGGCGTTTTGTCGTTGTCAAACTCAAATCTCTCTGCTTCGAATTCGTGATGTGTAGGTCTGTTGCAAAACAAGTTCAGTCTACCCGCGAGTAGCTGCTGAGCTTCAGCCGGGTCTAACGCGCCATTCGACGCGGCCGCAGGAGGCGGAAAGGATGCAAAGCTTGGTGCTTTGCTGTGGTCTTTGGTACAGGGACTGTTGAGACAATCCACAACGCTGCCGTAACCGTCGTCGTTCAAGGTATCAATGGAGGAGGCGCGAGATATTCCTATTTGTCCCGGCTCTTTGGTGCCCAACACCGATGAATTGGAGTTTGCTCGACCAAACAATCTCCTACGCCGTTGGCGCAGTGGAGGGTTACCACCGCTTGTCTCTGCGGCTTTGGACTGTTTGAGGCGGTTTCGTTTTTGTTTTAAAAGTTCGCTGATCGCAACATCTAGAGAGTTTGAAGAGGTTGCGGGTTTATCTTCATTGCTGTCTGTTCTGGGTAGTGGTACAATAGGAGAAGGAGAAGCCAAGGACTTTGTGGGCGAGGTGTTCGGGCCAGAATCAGGACCAGATTTGTTAGGTAAAATGGTATCCTCTCTGGACTTTTCTTTATCTTGTATTCGGCTCTCTCCCTGCTGTGGAGAAGGGCTCTGTGGCTGCTCTGAGCTGAGTCTACCGTTGCTTTCCCAGCCGT